ATATATTAATATTTAGGGGTGGGTTGGTTTGCTGATAAGTAATGCAGTGAAAATGTAGTGTATTATATATATTAAAAATTACACGTAAAAAATTTAGTTTAGGTGCTTCATAATAAGGGAGTATAGGAATGGGGTGGCACGTCAGAACTTTAATATAATAAAAAATTAATTAAATGGGAAATTAAGGGAAACTAATTTAATTATTTTATGCGTATTACTATAATAGAAACTGAGGGATAAAATTCGAAATAAAAAACCCTAAACTAACAATTTCACCTCCTCGGCGTCCTACCTGGTCTGTGTCCATTCGATTTCTTAGCGGAGAGGCTTCTACTGCTCTCCGGCTTTCTCTTCGCATATGGTAAACTATCTTACTTTCTCATTCTTACTGCTCTTTGGGGACTCTCACCGAACATATGGCGGCAGGACGAAGCCGGATTAGAAGAAGAGTTTGCTCCTCTATTCGATTACAGCGGCGTCCACTCGGCGGCCTTCCATCACCTTAGCGGTAAGTCGTCCTTTACATTGACGTTTCAAGTGAGTTTTTTCTTGTATTCTAAGTTCTGCGGTAGCTTCAGATGACGATTTGGATGATTCTCCGGTGGCTTCGATTGGGAAGCAGAAGAGGAAAGGTGGGAAGGCAAGTGCATTGCTACTTTTTTGTTTGATTTACACCATTTTTTACGAGACTGGATGTGTCGGATTAGTATTTTCTTGCTTTCTTTTGGGTGAAGATTGTTTGAATGGTCAGGAGGTTGTGAATATACTGGACGATGAGGAAGAGGGGAGTAAAGATAAGAAGAAGGACGATGAAGAAGAGGATTGGCTGCCACCTCCACCCAAAATGCGATGTATAAGTTCAGCCGTTTTTGAAGACAAAACTTTAAAAGCGTTGAGGTATTTATGGATTTAATCCTTTCATCCGTGCTTTTATGGTGAGTTCCTGTGTTGGCATACCTTCATTGTCCGTCTCAATTGGCGATAGTTATCAATAAAGCTCCTTGGTCATGTTTGATCATTTGGTTTGATAATTAGCTTAGCATATTAAAAAGGTCATCATCTCAATGATCTAAACATGAATGTTATCTTATTTGATCATGTTAGACTCGATAATAGCTCATATATACATGTGTATATGTGTATATATATGCGGTTCATGTATTATTGTATGTTTGTATGTTTATGTGTGCATTAACATATAGGTTGTGTACTCATATCTATGCATGTATTTATGCATGAATAATTACATATATGCACATCAACTATATTCTATAATTTCAAATAGCTTTCACATTAACAAATAAATCTTGTTTGGCTCGATAAATAAATGAGCCAAATACAAATAAAAAAAATAACTGTTTGTTTATTTATGAAGCTGAGATGAACAAACAATTGAGCTTGTTCATGATTGTTTCATTCACACTTTTAAATGCATACTTAAAAGAATTGTGATTTATTTTGGACAATGAAGATCCAATGTGCGGGTAGCAAACTCTGTCCATTCTTAAGGACTTATTTGAACCTTACATGTACCAGAATCCTTTGAGTGGTTGAAATTTCAAACTTATCTGAGTGGTGGACTAGACAACAAAATAATTGGGAGCTAGTCAAGTAAGATGGAAACAGACTAGGTTTAAGAGAGGCACTGTAGATTGCTTTTGAGGAGACGATGAATTTTTAAGAATTGAGAAATTGAATCTCATATGGACAGTGAAATTATGCTGGTAAAGTTAAAAACCTTGATTATGGACAATGCAAAACCTCGGATGGAATAAGAATGAAATTTTTTATTGATTATCTAAAATTATGTAAATAATTTGCGAGCTGTAATCTCCATACAAAGAAAATGTGATTCACTAACTTATTATCATGACATGTGTAATGTTACATATAATGAGATTTTCTTGAGAAAGCTTACAGAGTTAATCCTTTGCAAATAAAACAAACTTGGATGATATTCTATAAATATCTTGCATGCTGCAACAAGTTGACAAAAGAAAATAATTTAATCTTCACTTGGAACCCTCCATTTAAAAAGTAAACAAAAGAAAATAATTTTTTTCCCTAAAGGATGAGCTACATGAAAATAATACTATTTATTCAAGTTCTTGATATGCTTCCTCTCTCTCTCTCTCACATTGATGAACTTCCTCTCCTCACTTGACCTACCATTCTTATTGTTATTTGTTATAATATACAGTAACACTCTTTTTTGGCGCTCTAGAAAGCTTTTTGTTCAATAAAATTATTTGACTCAATAGTTTGTCATCAGAGGCACTTCAACAATAACTAAATATACTTCTACAAGCTAAAGCCAACGAATTTGGCAACCTCATATCGACAAGCAAAACTTTCAATTGTTCAATTGTTAAAATTGAGGGGGATGGGGAGACACATATCATTTTCCTTGAACTTTGATTAAAAATGGTTTAAGTTAAAGTTAATGGGAGGCCTTTTTCATGAGGGAAGAAAGATCCCATTTTTACATGACCATTCTCACAGATCTTAGTTAGATCCTTCTATGGGTTCTATTGGCCTGGTTAAACATCTTACCTAATTGAAGGTCATTTTGCCCTTTTATGTGGTGTCCATTACAATTAACTTCCATGTCAAGCTTTCAACTTTTAAGGTTTCAATACTTTTGCGGTTCTACAAGCTTTGATTGATGTGTATTACCTCTTACGAGATGTTTCATAAATAATTTCTCATTTTACTCTTAAGCTTTCAAAAACCATAGAAGACCATCTAGACTTTTCTCTTTCCTAAGCAAAATTAGAATGAATATCTATGAGTTTATACTATTTAATTAAACCACGGGAAGTCAGTGATATTTTAAATTTACCCACCATTATGATAGTACCCTTGTTTTAAAGTTTGAAAGATGGCCATTCCAAACTTTTGGTTGCTAAAAACTTGTTTGAGATCATATTAGATCCTTCAAAAAACGAAACTATATCAACAAAATGGTTTACTTGAGGCTTTAAGTCTTATCGCCTTTGCTTTTGATCAGTTTAGATGGATTGGTTTACAAATTGGTCAAATTGATTGCATTGAAAACCTATAATTGTAAAACCGAACCAATCAAAATATTGATATAACCTAACCAACTAAACTGAAGTGATTCAATTTATGTGGTAAGGTTTTGAATAATTTGAGATTTAGATATGAAATAATAGTTTGCTATGTGAATCTTGTTTGAAATGATATTAGCAAGAGAACCAAAAGTGTTTATGTTCTTTTTGGGAAATACAATTTCAGGTCCAACAAAAGACAATGATCAACCCGAAAAGAACATAGTTAGGAATAGTAATAGCTTAATAGGCAACATATTTACTGGGTTGAACAGGAAACACGCTATTTGATTCCATCCTACAACATGCTTACTTATAAAGAGATGAACACGAGAAATTTTGAACAACTAGGTTGAGCTTGTTGAGACAAATGGAGTGTAACATCATTGTCAAGAACCTTGCACGTGCTTCAAAATAGATCATAGGAGATCATTGAACCAAAAAATTATCAAAAGTGTATTCTTACAAAAATCATTACTCTTCAAATTATAAGAGTTATACAATTGCCTATTATTAAAAGAGCTCGAGCTACTATCGGTGCACTTGCAAATAAAAATCAGTAGCACTATCACAAATCAAAGCAGAAAGCAAGCATACCATAATATATATGTTCCAATTAACAACTAATATTTTTTTCCATTTAAACTAGAGTAGAAACCGATACTGCTGTGACAAACCAAAGTAAAAACCAATGGTTTTGTAACAAACCAGAGCATAAACTAAGCCTTCGAGGTAAACTTTTTGGCCTTTGGGAAGATTTCACCATGAAACTATTTTATCCAAGCAAATATTTTTAAGAAAAGACAAAACCTCTATTAAAACATAAAATATACTGTTGTCGATCGTTTAGTGTTAAAAAAATATTCTATTGCATTTGAAGAAGGGAGAGATGTTTCTCAAGATCAATACAGAGCTGTTAAGAACCTTGCGAGAGTTCAAAGTAAAGAATTTTACGGCTATAATTGAACTTGCGGGTGAAATGAATGTATTGAAAATTTGAATTGGTATGATATGAAAATCGTTAGAACTTCTCATGACCCCGACTTCCCCATTTTTAACTTTGATCAAGGGGTAAATCATCTTCATGTTTTGCCCAGCTTTTACCCGATTATTGGAAGAGAAAATGCCTTGAGACCAATGCAGTTTGAGCCATTAGCGAAGGGGTGAGTGATGGACGCAACATAGAAGATTGCCATCTATTCATTTTTGTGAATACTTTAGATAATATAGAAAGTTTTTTTTTGCAACTTTTAATACCATCACAATGATCATGAACACAACATGGAAGATTGCTATCTCCTAAAAGTTTTATTGGATCAATTGTTGAAAGGGCACATTAGGGAGTTTTAGTGTCAGTATGGTATGACCAATTAAAGGAAATGAACCATGACCACGAAGAGCTATATAGAATTTGGGGGTAATCAACACCATTTTTGTAGGAGTGAAATAGAACCATTGCTTTATCAAGCCTTCAATGAATCTAGATGATTTAGGCTCTTACCTGTATATACACACATCTTATCACTTTTTGGAGTCAATGTTATACTTGTCAATTACATTGTTTTTATTGTTGCATGGTTTTCACAATAGTTATTGATAATCTTGAAGTTTACCATATTCTCGTAAACTTGGGTAGCTTAATCGACAATTTTTTCTTTTATACCGTGAAAAAACATGCATTTATAAGAACTTATGCCCCATAAAGGGGTCATTGATTGGCTCTCCAGTGAACCAGGAGAACTTGAAAACGTTGTCACTCTTATCATTTTGTGGAACGCTAACCAACTTTATGAGATAATGTAAATGCATTTTATGTTCCTTAGGGCATCATCAACCTATACTCCTTTAGAAGCTTTGCTTTTGAGCATGTTCCAAGCCATCTCGTCAATTTACCACTTCGCATTAAATATGTTACTCCTTAAGACAATAACGATCAAGGGCTACTTAGTTTTGTACAAGATGTGTTATCTCAACACAATATAGACTTAAGTATTGAGATTAGTGCCAAAAACCATGAAAATATATGAAATCTTGCAACACATTGAAGTTTAGTAAAATTTTTGTTACATCAACGTAATCCTCTTTAAACTTATAAAGCCAGTTCCTTTTTGTTAGATGTAAAGTGCCTCAAGCCATCCTATAGAAATCATGAATACAATTTAAGCGTTGCCTTATTTTTAAGTTCAATTTGAAGCTAAGGCTCTTCATATAGGAGATTTGGTCCTTTAAAAAGTAAAAGAGACTGACTAAATGGAGTCTTTGCCAAGCAAATGCCCAATTAGGAGCATCACAAGATATTAGTCTATATTATGAGCTGATGGAAGTCAACATCTAAGAATATCCTTTGGATCTTAAAAGCTTTGATAGGAGTAAAGCTCGTAGGCCATTTTAAGGAATTTGAGCATAGACTACTGGCCTTCAAATGCTTATTTCATCCCCTTAAAAATTCAGCATAGCCTTGCCCTAGTGGAAATAAATCTTTTTGGCCAACCTCAAGTAATCTATAGGGGTGTTAATTTGCGTAGAAAGATTGGTTTTAGATCTGGCTTGAAGTCAACTTGAATCGAATATACTAGAAATGAAGCTAATCTATTCAATATATTAGTTAAAGTATTTGATCTTAACCCTACTCAATTTGAACTTGTTTAGTTAAACCCAACCCATCCAACTTATTTTTATATGGATCATGCAATTTTTGGATTCACATGATCCAATTAACTTGAATATGAATCAATTAACTTAATTAACTTGACTCAAACCTACATAATTAGAACCCAAATAATAATTGAGTCAAATTTGAGTTATCTGAATCAACCCAAACCTAAC